ATTATGATCATTACGAATGCAAATAGCTGAAAATAGTTTTAGAACCGGTTCACAGCGACCTTTTGCATTGAGAAATATTTCGTAGCTGCGTTGGTGGCAGCTCAAATGTAAAACAAGCGATTGAAATATATATACATAAATATATATAGACAAATACGTATACAACTCTGAAGTGCTGGCTTTGGAAATCAAGCAAGTCAAAGGCTCGCGCATTCCTCTTGAATTCTGCTAACCAGATGATCTCAGCTCAGCTAGGCGTTCGATATATGTCTCTCCCCCTCTCACTGCGTCGCAAATTCATGCCACGGGTGTTTAATGAGTTGCTGTTGTTGTTGTTGTTGCTGTTGTTCGATTTTGTTTGAACTATTTAATTGGTATTGCGATTTGCAGTGCTTCAAGCCGTTCGCCCACATATAACGAAAGCTATATCTCGCTCTCCACATGAATGTATATATGGACATGCCGCCTGACTTGTGCAACTGCGTCACGATTGCCATTAAAACACTTGACTCGTACTTCCTGTCCTTAAGCGACAAACATACATATGTATCAATTATGTACATCACACACACAATTTATAATAACTAAACTGAAGTGATATATGTGAAGCTTTATATCTCAGTCTTTCATTGAATCCATTGGGTATCGATAGATGATTCTATATATTTCGAGCCGCCTTAGATGTGGGTCAATATCTTTCTTTTATGCTCATGCGAAAAGTCTTGAGGTTTACTTTGAATTGAATTTTAGCGCTTTTAGCAAGGCTTTACCTAAGCATTTACTATCTTTTTGTTAGCATGACGTATACTTAATATTTATATAGCATAGCATCATGCGAATTACAGTTGACCTTGAATGGAATTTAGTATTTGTTTACTTAGCTATTGTGTTGAAATAGTTGCAAACGCTTTTTGCTGATTTTTTTATTATTATTTATTTATTTTTATTTTTTGTTATGTTGATTGAGTTATGTGTAAAAAGTGTGCAGGTTAAAAAATATATATTTATTCTATAAATATAAATGTATTCTATAATTGATTTTATTCGAATATATATATTTTTGTTATAAATAAAGAAGGATACATCTCTGGTATTATTATTATTTTTTCAATATTTTTCAATAATAAATATGCATAATTTACTAAGAATAAATACTATTTATTTTTATACAATAACGTATTTATGTGGTTCATTTATTTGTTTTGCACAAATGCGCATTATTCATAAATTACATAATATAATATAATTATAACAAATACAAAATGTTGTATTAATTACTACTATTATATATTTATATACATTTGTATTAATATTTATTTTCATATTCAATAAAGTTTTTTATTATTTATAAATTTTATAATAGAATATATTTTGACCAAATACAACATTTTGTATTAATTACTACTATTATATATTTATGTAAATTTTTATTAATATTTATTTTCATATTTAACAAAGTTTTTACTCTCCAGCTATACGTATACATATAGTATTATTTATATACATATATATTTCATTTCAAATACTTATATACATTATTTGCTCTTTTTCATTACAGATAAAACTCAAAAGAGTCTTGGGTCTAACTGTTTGCAGCAATGCGGCACTCGACGTGTCGCCAGTCAGCGGCCTGCTGGCCTATCCTGCCGGGTGAGTCCTTGAGCTGAAGAGAACAGAATCTCTTGAACAGTGACTCAAGTTAGATGAGAACCGAAGAATTGGCGTATTTATATGTGTGACCTTCACAGAATTTGGTTTTATGACAGCTCTAAAAGCTGCCCTTATAGGGATAAATACTAAATTTAAAATTGATTTATTTTTTGTTTTGGTTAATTATGAGTTTGGTGTTGTGTGGGTTGACCAATGACGAATGTCTAATTAATTAATTAGTGACAGTTTTATTGAAAGAGTTTTGTCATAAAAATGAAATGGAATGCGAGCTGCTATTCACTTGAATTGCATAGGGCTCCCGCTGTTTGCCAGAGCCAGGCCAGGGTCGCTGTCAAGTGCCTCACAATGCGGGCGCATATTACAAATATTTGTATGGATGCTCTTATATGTTTTTCCCCCTCTCTCTCTCTCTCTCTCTCAGCTGCACTGTGGTCCTGTTCAATGCCAAGCGTCACACACAGGCCTATCTGGTCAATACCTCCCGCAAAGCCTTCACATCAGTTGCCTTCTCGCGCTGCGGCCGCTACGTGGCCACCGGCGAGTGCGGCATCAATCCTGCCATCAAAGTCTGGGAACTAGAGACGCCCAATGGCAATCTGGAGCAGTGCAGCGGCGGCACAGTCATAGCCGAGTTTGTAGATCACAAATACGCCGTGACCTGTGTGGTGAGTAGAAAACTTAATATCTTAATCTGTATAATATGTATTTACTTGCTCAACTTGTGCTTTAATCTCTACTGCATTGCTCGGGCAGGCATTCTCGCCCACGGGCAAGTACCTGGTGTCGGTGGGCTCGCAGCACGACATGATTGTCAACGTGTTCGACTGGCGGGCCAATCTGAAAATGGCATCCAACAAGATTAGCTCCAAGGTGGCCGCCGTGTGTTTTGCCGAAGATGGCAGCTACTTTGTCACCGTGGGCAATCGACATGTCAAATACTGGTATTTAGAAGGTGGACGCAAGGTGAGTAGCTTATATACCTATATATACAAATAAACAGAAAGTAACTACAATTCGCTTCCAGTACAAAGATCCCATTCCGCTGATGGGTCGCAGCGCCATTTTGGGCGATCTGCGGGACAATGACTTCTGTGCCGTCGCCTGCGGCAAGGGCATCTGCTCGGAGAGCACCTATGCCATCACACGGCAGGGGCACCTGGTGGAGTTCAGCTCGCGGCGGCTGCTCGACAAGTGGGTGCAGTGCCGCACCAGCAATGCCAACTGCATTTGCGTCAACGAGCGCTTCATACTCGTTGGCTGCGCCGAGTCCATCATACGCATCTTCAATGCATCCACGCTGGAGTACGTGACGACGCTGCCCAGGACACACTACCTGGGCGTGGACGTGGCCCAGGGCATACAGATCAATCACATTATGTCTGTGCCCCCGCAAGCCAAGTTCCCAGATTGTATTGCCATGGTCTTTGACGAGCAGCGCTCCAAGGTAAGTGCAGAGAAGTGCCGAGAGAGATCGAGTTGGAGAACATCGACTCACATTTCTCATTTTTATGTGCGCAGGTCAGCTGCGTCTACAACGATCACTCGCTCTACATTTGGGATCTGCGCGACATATCGCGAGTGGGCAAGTCCCACTCGTTCCTTTACCACTCCACGTGCATTTGGGGCGTGGAGACAGTGCCATATAATGTGGAGCGTGAGTCTTCGCAAACGTTGCCCGAGGACTGTTTCGTGACGTGCTCGTCGGACGACACGATTCGTGTGTGGGGCCTGGACAGTTGTGCCAACAATGAGATATATCGCAAGAACATCTATTCCAAAGAGTTACTCAAGATCATCTACAGCGACGAGGAGCTGCAGTACATCAAGGACCAGGGCTCCTCGCTGTTCGACAAGACGGGCAGCTCCAGCTACGACGGCCGCAACGGCGTGCGCTGCATTAAGATTAGTCCAGATCTGCAGCACTTGGCCAGCGGCGATCGCTGCGGCAACATACGCGTCTACAGTCTGCACAACCTGAAGCTGCTGACCACCATCGAGGCGCACGAGTCGGAGGTGCTATGCCTGGAGTACTCCAATGAGAAGATCGAGCGCAAGCTGCTGGCCAGCGCCAGTCGCGATCGCCTGATCCACGTCTTCGATGTGTCGCAGAACTATTTGCTGCTGCAGACCCTGGACGATCACAGCTCGTCGATCACTTCCATTAAATTCGTCGGCGCTGGCCTCAACTTCCAAATGATCAGCTGCGGCGCCGACAAGTCCATAATGTTCCGAACTTTTCAGGTAAGTGGGGATTGCTCTTACTGAATCGCAAATTCGATTCCAAATTCGATTATTGATTGCATCTCGTTTGCAGGGCAACATCTTCATGCGCGGCACGAATACCTCTGGCAAGACAACGCTGTATGATATGGAGGTGGACTCCAATGCCAAACATATTCTGACCGCTTGCCAGGATCGCAACGTGCGCGTCTATGGCACGCAGAATGCCAAGCAGACAAAGACCTTCAAGGGCTCCCACTCGGACGAGGGCAGCCTGATCAAGCTTAGCCTCGACCCCAGCGGCATTTACGTGGCCACCTCCTGCACGGACAAGACGCTCGCCGTCTATGACTACTACTCCAGCGAGTGCATGGCGCGCATGTACGGCCACAGCGAGCTGGTGACGGGGCTGAAGTTCACCAACGACTGTCGCCATCTGATTTCAGCCAGCGGCGATGGCTGCATCTTCATCTGGCAGGTGCCGCACGACATGATCGTCACGATGCAGGCGCGCATGTCCCAGCAGCGTTTGCGCTCGGGCATTGCGCCGCTGCAGCGCCCCTTGGCGCCCATTTCGCCGCCCGACGCCATCGTGGTGGAGTCGCCCAGCAGTGAGCTGGAGCATCAGCAGCTGGCGCCCAAGTTTGTCGTGGCTGAGGAGCAGCCAGCCAATCGGCACGCCTATCGGCTGTCCGACGTGGGCCAGCTGCCGCAGTGGGCTATGCGCAAGGCGGCCGACTCGGACAGCGGCGCTCTGTCCATACCCACGCCCATCAATACCGCCTTGTCCTCGGCGACCATGCACGCAGCCTCGTCCATGGGCAACCTGAGCTCCTCGCCCAGTCAACAGCTGGGCGTGGCGGCGCCTCGTGCCCGTGGACGTTGGGCGCAGCGCAGCAACCAAGCTCTGGAGACAGAGGACATGCGCTCCAACTCGGAGAGTCCGCTGGGCACAGTGTCCTCCGTGGGCGGGCACAACATACCAACCTCCGACTACAACAGCGCCTCCTCCAAGGACATCATGTACAATCAGACGTACTTAAGCGAGGACTCGTCCATTGACTCGGGCATGGAGACGCGGCGAGAGCTGAAGTTCATTGGCAGCAACAACAATGGCACAATCCCCAACATCTCAGCAATTACCTCCAGCACAAATGCTCCGGCTGCTGGCAGCGTTGCTCAGCAGCGGCTGCAGCTGGACAAGCGCAAGCCCGGCATGCGCTTCGATACGCACAGTCACGATCACGATGGCGACATTGAGGACATATCGGACGGCGAGCGCACCAGCTCGGATCACGGCATGTTCTACAACAACATGGCACCCAGCACGCCAACGTAAGTATTTTGGGAGTGTGCGGGGAGAGGAGAGGTGCATGAGCACATGAAATACTTCATAATTAGCAAATAAGGTTTCTTTACTTAATTGTTGAGTATCGTTATGTGGGCAGCATGCTCTAAGGTCTAAGGTTGACTTAATGGACAGACCACTTGACAAACCTCCAAGTTGGATCCATTTAGACTTCTGTCACATACAAATTTAAGCACAGACTATTTTGTAGAGATTGTGGATCGCGTAATATCGTTCTTTTTATATGAAAGACTTTGATAACTAGGGTTTCATTCCACAAATATGAGTATAAACCCTTTTTCTCAATCAGTTAATAACAAAATGAGAATGGAAAGAAAAAGTTTTAATTGAAATTTTAGAAAAATACAAGCTGATTGATTTAGTCGTAAAGAAAAAAACATTTTGTTAATCAGTTGGAGTTTTCATAAGAGACTCTGCTCATGTGAGAATGTCTAAAAATTGAGATCTGATATAGTCTAAAGACAGAAATGAAAGTATATACTATAAAGTACTATATACTATATGTTAATGTATAGAGAATAATATGTATATAGAGTATGTATTACATTATGTATTTGATATAGTATACCTAAATACTAGAGTATATATAGTAATATATTGTATAAATGCTTCAATAGAGTAGAATGGATATGAGATGGAACGAATGAAACAAAGACTCAGCCATAGTTGTTCCAGAGGAATTACAAGAACGTATGTAAAGTTCAAGTCGAACATTGGAAAGCATTCTTATAGTCCCTCTTAACTCTGAGCTGAGTAGAAAACTGTATTCAAAAGTTAGTAATCCAGTAGTAAATGCTGGACAACAATTTTAACAAATTGTTTATGTATTTTTAAAATAACTTAATTGAGTACTTATGAACATGGAATATTTTTGCCTACGCCTGGCGTGCCTTAAAGTAACATCAGACAGCTTATTAGGCAGCGACAAAGTTGCAATTTAATTACTTGACTTGGTAACAATGTAATCATAAAATGCCAACTATTCTGTTTTATGCACAGTGACTTCAAGGTGACCGCCATGAATGAGGAGGAGCTGCGCAAGTCGGTGCGACGACAGAAGTTCGAGAAATCTGGGCTACAATTGGCCGCGGCCAGCGGCAATGGCAGCACCCATACGGCGAGCACCGGCACAGGCACTGGCACATCGGATACGGAGGATGAGGGCTCGACGCCCAGTGCGGAGAATGCGGAGCGCTCGCTGGCCTCGACGTTGGGCGGCAGCTCAGAGAATTTGCCACAGAGCGGCAATAGCTTCTTGCATGCGGCACTGCCCGAGGGACCGGGACTGCTGCTGGAGCGCGGCACAAGCAGTAGGCTGCCTTGAGCACATCCCTTTAATACTTGATACTAATTCAGCTTAATTTGAATGTCGCAGGTCGTCGCAGCATCAGCGCCAAGCACAACAATGAGAATGGAAAGGTCTCGGCGCCGCCCACCATTACGAAGTCATACACGAGCACCAAGAAAGAGGAATTGCTGCAGGTCATCAACAAGGTCAAACAGCAGCTGGAGAATGTGAGTGTGGGATAGAAGATGGGGAATAGGGGGAAGGGGGGCTGGCAATTGAATATCTGAGGCAGCTAAGCCGCCTACCTTTTTCTTTTGTTTTATTTTTTTATGTCTTATTTCCCATTCTGTTTTGTTTTCCTTATGTGTTTTTATGAATCAAATGTCAACCCAACATCTAAAAAAACAAAAAAAAAATACTCGAATGCTTAGGGTACGCACAAAAATGGCATTAAAAAGTTAAATACCATTGCTGAGGTGAGAACTGAAACGCAGTTAAAAACTAAATTTATTTTTGCTGCTGCTTTTACGACTGTTACTTGCCTTGCATTCGCATTCCAAACTAAGCACGTCGAGCTCTCCACTAAATTGGCATTTCATTTAACGAAAACAAAATATCAATTAATTATTTCAGATAATTGCAATCATTACTAAAATGTAAACTTTATTGCTTAAGCAGCATGATTAATTCACTTTAAGACTTTTCAATCTGGTTAAATATGAAAATTTTTGAGCATATGATACGAAAGGATTATTGCTTGTATGTTAGAGATATAGGCATTTCATTGTTAGACACCTTTAAGATCTATTGAGAGGGGAGAATATGCCATATTGTATATAGAAACATAGAGAGAACAGAAGACGTCATTGATAATATTTGTTAAACGGCTTTGTTTAAGATGGCATTACAGGAAAATACTCTGTTGTACATATTTAAATTTCATGCTAGATCTTCATTATCAATAGTTTAAATTCTATTTTCAAAGATCAATTTATTAATACATAAAAAAAAATGTAATATTAATATAATATACATATATAATATATATCAATTGTTCCCAGTTTCCTAGTTCAAGGTGATAATCTGTCGAAAAATTTAAATTTTCTGTGAGATAATACATACACTCATGATTAAAATAATAGGTACACTTCCTAAAATTGAGTTTAGCTTAGCAAAACATTTTTTCTACTGCCCTAAGCATTAAAATTTGAATGCACGTTTGTTTTAGGTATATACCTATGACATACCAATAGTGACAGGATAATTCTAATTTTAAATTTAAGCCCAAAAACTTCATTAGTTTTCTACAAAGTATTCGTATTTTCCCAATTAGAAATATAATGTTCTAGTTGGGATATTGGTAAAATATAGGAATTGTAGAGTTATTTAATTTGTTAACTGTACTTCCAGTTAGGGTATATTAATTATATGTAAATACCAAAAAAGCTCTTGGCCAACGATCTTTAATTTGTTATTACGATCTTTATAATAAAAGCTTAAAGAAGAATTGAGAAGAATGTTTTACTGAGCACATGCACCATTAATATTTGCCATAAGTTGACCTAATTTAGCAGACATTAATTAATTAATTAGCGTCAACTGCTTGACTGACAACTAAAGTTGACCTAAGCTTACTCCGAATAGTTAATTAAAGCTCAAGCAAACATATTAACGCCATAAATGCTATAAAAATACTAAGAGAAACGCTGTATAAAAACAGAAAATTTAACTGAAACAGAAACATTAACTGTATAAA